CAAACCCTGATTCTGCTTAAAACCTGGACCATGTAGCCGGAGCAAGTCCCCAAACCTAAACCCTCCGGTTGCCCCACAAACTCACAAAAAAAAGGCCTCAAATGTGCCCTCTTCTCAAGCCCAACCACAAATCTCAGCTGTCTCCGAAAATCTCCGAACGAGGAGCATAGTGTTGGTCTCCACGGCACTGACGCCCTTCTTGTATCCGAGGGTCGTGTGCGGATTCACCTCGGGGTTTAGAGTGGTGGGATCAGTGGCCGGGCATTTAATACTCCAAAACCCGAGCCCGAAACCGCAAAACGCAAATCTGAACAGCGGATTTGATTCAGGGTGCAGGGCTTCGGGGTAGACTTACTGCTCCAGCTTCAATTCTCATGTGACATGGCTTATGGTAGGCTGTCGACATTATTCAGACCAAAGTTTTGAAGGGCTAAAGGTTTCGGGGCCGGGGCGGCCTTAGGTAGAGCGTCTGGGCCGTTCTGGACAGTGGATGACACAGGAACTTCCGCCCAAACAATCAAAAAAATATCCCAAAGCTTTGAGCACGAACACGCAAACCCAAAGCCCCAAGCCCTCAACCCCTGCAGACCGAAGTGTCCGAAGTGTCGGAGATTCGGATCCCAGAATCCTGAGCTTCGCGAGCTGTCCGATGACTAGGGCAATGGCGTTTGCGCAATGGTCGTAGAAATCCCCCAGCTGCATGGGCACACCTGCGATGCGGCCCTCCTGGAAAGGTTACGCTTCAGGGCTTAGGGATTAAGTCTGTCGTGCATGAAGTGGTTGCTTCAGTGCCTTTGGTGCAAGCTCGGGACTTTTGAGTGACGGTTTGAAGCAGTAAGCCCTAAACCCGAGAAGATGTTAAACAAGAGTAACACCTAGAAAACAACACAACGAAACAACAACAAAACGAATCATGCAGAGGCCATCTTACAATTGCAAAGACCTGCAAGCTTCTTCTACGTTGACATCCCCTCAACCTCCCATCATCTTCCTTAGACGGCCCTGTCATGGCCATCATGATGTTGCCTCATCACCTTCATCGAAACGCTCATCTCCTCTCCTTGATCACCATTTTTCCCTTGTTCCTGCGACTAAAATACTACTGCGACTTCGGTTGACTACTACCACTACTACTACTACTACTACTACTACTACTACTACAACTACAACTACTACTACTACTACTACAACTACTACTACAACAACAACTACTACTACTACTACTACTACTACTGCAACTACAACTACAACTACAGCTACTACTACTACTACTACTACTACTACTGCTATTGCTGCTGCTGCTGCTGCTGTTGCTGCTGCTGCTGCTGCTACTGCTACTACTACTACTACTACTACTGCTACTACTACTACTACTACTACTACTACTACTACTATTACTACGACTACTACGAC